GATTGAGCGATGTATTCTAGGTCGTAGACAGGTTCTGTCTAAAGTCTTTGACATTTCTTCTGCGGATGAATGGCTGTTTCGGAACCAAACTCATAGCGTTCTTCAAACATCCATCACGATATCCACTCTACCTCAGCCAAAAACACCAGCTAAGGTTGCACCATCATCGGATCAACACCAGTCACATTACTGCGTATCAAGGCATGGCTATGTTTACTACCATCTTCGCCATGTTCGCCTCTAATCAACGCTGCTGCTATATCCAGTTTGTGTGCTTTCAAACCAGGATGAGGTAACTATCTCGAAACACAGGTTAAGTACATGAGAACACTCGAGAGGGAGTTATCCACATCAGATGTAACCCTTGTTCTATTCATAGCATCATAAGTCCGGAGTCTGATCTGCGGAAATTATATCCAGTTCGTCAACACGACCCGGTATACACTCGTGCTCTCTCAATGATAATTCTGTTGTGTGTGCCTGCCCAACACATGTCTCTCGACGTAGCGGTGCCTCCAGTTGCCCACTGTCCTATAATCACTCTCACATCCTCTCACGAAACACCTCTCATGTTTGACGTCCGTTGCATGGTATGCTATATTATCGTACCTCAAACATATGTTGCACTGCTCGCATTCGATTGGGAACTCTTGTTGATGGTATTGTAGCTTGAGACCATCTGGGAACCATTCACGACAGCTGGTGCATTGTTCGCGATCGAGATTTGCCTGGGCTGAGATGGAGTAACTTCCAGAGGATGGGTTCGCTGAGTATTGCACGGATGCGACGGCATGCGTGTTGCTGAATCTGTCGAAAACATGGACAAGAGGTTTTGCTAGCTCATTGGGATGAGAGCTGGACCGGTGTGCACTGCTGTGTATTCTGTGACGTACGAGAGCATTGCTGGTATCGTATTGTCCATATATGTCCTGGTTGTTTGAGAAACGATGTGGACGAGCGCCTGTGCCCGTACTGTGACGCGCGCTGGTAGCATTCGTCGAGTCACTACTGTAGTAAATGTCATCGTATCTATTCCTGGCGTAGCGGTGTTGCGTGCATCGATTCCCGGGACCTCTGATCCAAGTGCTGCATATCGTGCAGGCTGCCATGTTGAGTCGATGAAAGATTTGAAGAGGCTAGAGTGAATCGAAAAGTAGTTTGGGAGCGCCGAACCATCATGTTATACACCATGTCGAGCCGCAACGAAACCCATTAGGCTGCATAATTGCTGGTCCTGATGGCTTGCATTGTTCACCGGATGGCAGCGATCCAATCGTGGGCTTTACGGATTTGAAGAGCCAATGGAAGAATAACAAGACAAGTCTACTATGTGAGAGTCGAGACATGCCAAACGGTGCATTCACCGGTCTGCCGGGCAGTGGAAATCAGACAGTGTGGCTGCTGATTCTTTGAGTCCAGCCTTGTGGGAAACGGCCATGTGTAACTGGCATATATATACTCAGAGGAGCGTGTCCAATCAGGGAGTTGTTATATGATCCGATACATGCTAAGAATGATGTTCATCGATCATGAAGAAAGTTAGTAGGTACAAGAAACGATGCGTTGCCTGGGTACACTTGTGCTGACAGCGGCAGACGTGTTCTAAAGAGATGGGGTTCAATTTGCAAAAAGCTATGGGTCAGCGCATGTCCAGAGTCGGCCTGCAGTCTCTTGGTCTGCTATGCTAACATCAGCGCGTATGTAACAAGGATAATTGCTCGCATGGCGGAGCGGGGTCGAAGGACGATGTCTGGAAGTGACCAGGAGCTGGAAGTCGCGCTAGTGGGAACTTCCTTGGCGCTCTACGAATTTCAGTACAAGCTCCAACTTCGCGACCAACTTTCGAAACCCGCGCAAAAGAACAGACGATACCGAAGCACGTTGAAACCCCTGATATTGTCCGCTTGACCAGAAACCAATCAATCATCATCAATTGCCAAAATGAGGTTAACGACAGACCTGATCAACAACTCCCTCTCTTTCATCAACTGTCTCACGGAGCGTGAACTCGATCTGCGAGGTGCGTTGGAAAGAACAGATACTACACTTGAGAGCTGAGTTGATATCAATATCGTATAATATAGGTCACAAGATTTCGGCTATCGAGAACATGGGAGCAGCCAGAGTTAGTTGACCAAGCCACCCAACGTGCATCAGTATATTAACAGGATTGCAGGACAACGACGCCATAGACCTCACAGACAACGACATCGCACAGCTTGGCAACTTCCCCCTCCAGCCTCGTCTCCGAACCCTCTTCCTCGCGCAGAACCGCATTTCCAACATCCAACCGAACCTGTCCTCGAGCATACCCAATCTGCGAACACTAGTTCTCACCAAGAACAAGATCGCAGAGCTGGCGGACTTGGATCCGCTGGCGGGATTCAAGCATTTGGTCTATCTTTCATTGATGGGGAACCCCGTCACACGCAAAGAGGTACGTACCAAATCCCTCGAACCATGATACTTCGAGCCTAATTGTGCAAGCACACTTGAGCCCGAGGAGCGGAGATGATGCAGGGTGAGCCCCTCGGTGCGATTTGGCCGGCTCAAAATCGCATGACAGTAGACTATAATGTGCAGGGTGCTAACGTGGCGTAGAACTACCGGTATTGGGTCATCTGGCGCTGCCCTACTGTGCGATTCCTAGATTTTGTCAAAGTACGCGATGCTGAACGAAAGACGGCCAAGGAGCTATTTGGAACTGCAGAGGAGCCCACTGAGCTTGCAAACCAGGTATGTCATGTACACTGCTTCTGCCTCTGATCAGACACTGATTCCCCCAGATCTCCAGCAACAAGTCGAAAGGTTTTGTTGTCCCCACATTCACAAACGGTGCCGACTCGGGCAAAGAGCGCATCTACACCGATGAAGAGAAGAAGCGCATGCGTGCTGCCATCCTCAACGCGAGCAGTCTGGCGGAGATGGCACGGCTGGAGAAGGATTTCGCTGAAGGACGGATACCAGCACATATCCTCCAAGGCGGAGAACCTATGGAGACATAGCGACTATACCGTCGAGAGTCTGGCTAGTGACATGAACATGTAAAGCAGGCAGACAGTACAGCTCGCGACTGCGCGAAACCCCACGCCTACAGGGAAACAAGGAGGCGCACGACCATTGTGAGGCACATCAAGGTTTGGTTTGCACCGCGTGTGGCTCTCAGGGAGCGAATGCGGAGTGGAATATCCACGGGAAGACCTGGTGACTCTACCACAGACATGGAGGCGTATGTAGTGAAGCGCTCGAGCTGGAAGTAGATTGATCTGTATAAATTAAAACAGACTGCTTTGCGCTATGAGGCTTTCCCCACCCGTGGTATCGTAGTAATACACTCAGAACGCCGTGATGCCATGTACCATCATAAATCGACCCTTTCCCACACTGTCATCCGGATCAGATATGGAGTCATCTTCACCGTGCTACCATCCCCTTCCTCTACCTCCGCGTCCACCTCTTCCGCCGCCTTGATGACCTTGTTGAAAGCCTCCGCCTTGCTGGCCGCCAGGTCCACCACCGAAACCACCCATGCCCTGGCCAGCCATCTGCATGAAGGATGCAAAGTCCATCTGGCTGGGATCCATTCCCTGCGCCATCATATCCTGCATCATCATCTGCATCTGCTGTTCATTCATACCTCCAGGTCCCATAGCATTCCCGCCACCTCCAGGCCCTGTTGGCGGCGCACCGCCTGGTCCGCCATTGCCCTGTGGGCCAGCGCCCATACCAGGCATACCCGGCATCGGTCCACCCCCCATCATAGCCTGCATCTGTGCCATGTCGTTTTTCTGACCTTGCAGCGTATTGGCCATGCTGACTTGTCTTTGCCGGTACAATTCCCAAGTAAACTCATCGAAACCGTAGTTGAAGTAATCTGACTGGTCTTCGCCTGGTCGGCGCCAGATCTTTTGCTCTTCAGCCAGATCTGCATCAATGTCCACACTGAGAATCTCTTTGCCTTGAGGCGGGTACACAGGATTTCCGTTCACATCGATAGTAGAGGTGCGTTGTGCGGGGAAGGCGGCGCCTGAAAGGGCTGCGGCGGACAGTTGGGGCACAGTGCCGCCGGTGGTGGGAACAGTTTTGGGGGCTCCCTGTTGCGAGGGAGTCGTGGATGAGGCGGGTGGTGCTTCGATCTTTATGGCTTTGCTTTCTGGGGGTGCCTGCGTGCTGGACGGGCTTGTCAGTGCATGAACTGCTGTTTGAAGCTTGATTGAAGCTTACCCTGCGGGTTTGGGAGGTGCTGGCGCTTTCTCGATAATAATGTCAATATCCTACAGCTTTGTTAGAATGACAGCTAGCTTTTAGCAGGCTTCCGGTGCAGCGTACCGAGTCGCTTTCTTCCTCGTCGCCTGACTCTTCATCCATGGGCTCGTCACCACTAGAGTCGTCCTCCTCTTTCTTCGCATCCTTGTGCTGTTGCGTGGTAGTCTCATCTCCGTAGAGATCGTCATCAGATTCGTCTGCCATCTTGCCGTTCTCTTCGGATCACAAGTCGCAGAGCGCGTCCCCAGCAGTTGAGATGCTCCAGGGAATTGCAATGTATCCAGCACTCTGGAGCGCTTGTTTGAGAGAAGGAGCTCGGTCAGCGTTCAGTTCTTTGCTTTGCCTGTTTTTATTGTCGGGAGTGAAACAAGGTTTAGAAGTCGTGTCTTGCACGACTCTCGTAGTAATGCCTCTGCTAACGAACTTGAGCTTTGTTTGAGTTGCTGGATGAGGGAATGATTAGCCGAGTAGAATGGACGCGTTCGGGCCTGTGCTTGTTGCTGGCGCGCAGCCAAACAGACGCAGACGTTCCTCGTCACCTCCGGGCGCAACCTTTGCACCTCTAACCACGCGCATTCTCCCAGGCCTCCTTTCGCCGTCTTGCTGATAATCTCTGCGGGCGTCTCAACGGGTAGACTTTGTTCGCGGCTGCAGCCTTGTTCTTGTGAATTCTTCGCAAGCGACTGCATTTACACGGTGAAGTTGCCAAACATAGCTAGGGACACTCGCACGAGATGGCAGGATTTGGGCGCTCAAACTCGTTGAGTATCAATACTGGTGGGGGTGGATTGTTGTAAGTGCTTCTCCATGATCCGTCAAACGCTCCTACTCGAGAGATACGAGTGCTACTTCGGTGCTTCATGCGCGCGTCGTAATTTTGCTGGCAATGGCGCCATATCGATGCAGTAGACTGACTCTCGCAGCGGAAACAACGCGAACCAAGGGCAGCAGGCAAGCCAGCCTCAGAGCAGCGGAGGGCTCTTTGGGTCTACCCAGCAACCACAACAAGCACAGTCAGGATCGCTCTTCGGCGGCCAAACCCAGACTTCCCAGCCCTCAAGCGGCAGCCTCTTTGGCAATCTGAACAAGCCTGCGACGACAGCGCCGGCGAGCGGAGGCCTCTTTGGCTCATCTACAGCGCAATCAACACAGCCCCAGAGCGGAGGCTTGTTCGGCGGCGCGTTGGGCGGAAACACTCAAAATCAGACGCAGAACGCGCCCCAATCCGGTGGGCTATTCGGAGGCGCCCAGTCGAAGCCGTCACTATTGTAAGTGACGAGGACTATGCGTTGTGACACAAAGGCTAACTGCATCTTCTAGCGCCTCTTCAACACAACAGACAACAACACCCTCTTTATTCGGAAACAATACATCCACTCAGCAAAACCAAACATCGACCCCGTCGCTTTTTGGTTCGACCCAACAGCAGGCTCAGCCACAGCAGCAAAACAGTCTTTTCGGTGGCACCAACACACAAAACAGGTCGAATACACTTGGTGGCTCTACGCTTGGAGGAACCCAGATGAGCTCAAGCGCACAGCCGGTTCAGATGACCCTGGACTCGATACGAGGGACTACGCGGTTCAACGACCTGCACCCCGAAATACAAAACCTCATTCAGCAATTCGACGACGGCATTCAGCGCAAGGTCAACTACTGCAACCAGATCCGCGAGGCTCTTCCCGGCAGTGAGGGCGACATTTCCACTATCGCGCCCGACGTAACATACATCGAGACCATCCTCTCCACCGTCGAAGTCGGCCTGGACAACGATTCTGCCAACATTGCACACCTCAAAAATCTTGTCAAGAAAGACGCCGACGACGCGACTCTCAGCTTCCGTGCCATCGAAAATCAACGGCTGCCAGCACAATTTCATTACCGCAATAATGCGAACCTTACAGCTTCAAGCACAAAGGCCCCCGCAACAAGCGCTCTGGACGATGACGACCCGACGAAGCCTGTTGACCTGATGGGCTACTTCAACCGCCGTACCGATGAGCTCGGCAGTACTCTGGATGTGTACCAGCGCCAGATCCGTGAGATTGAAGCACACTTACGAACGATGGAGGCTGGTACGATGGAGAAGGCTCAGCAACTGACTGGCAGCCGAAGCGCGCCACGTGATCAGCGCCGTGAGCTCGTCGAAGCTCTCAAGGCCATTGAGGGGGCTATCCTCGACTCAGCCAAGAAAGTGGGCAAGGTACGGGACGATGTGACGAAACAGACGTTGGGAAACGTAGGCGCCGCCCTGCTCTGAGGCATACAGACACAGCGATGATTTACTTGTGTCAGATAGAATGAAGTTTGTGGGCAGGCTACTGTGTATAATATGGTTAAGGCGTAACAAGTTTTTGCACAAGGTCTTATGCATATAGACGCTGGACGAACAGGCAAAAGCAATAGATACCCATCAAATTCAGAGCGTCCTTCCACCTTTGTAATAGTAATTCTATATTCCAATGGCCTTTCGAGACCGCTCGATACGCGCTGACTTGATGCCTAGCGTTTGCAGTCAAAGCGGAATATCATCACGAAATGCTTTGTCACGGCGGACGTTAGTCAAGCTTTCCAAATGCTGAGTAAACTCCACCCTCGGAACGCGCGCCCCACCAAATCGGAACCAAGAGAAGCTATGACGTCTCCGTCTCAGTATAGCTGCGAGCTTTCAATGACAGCTATATAGCCACAACGGTTGCTCATATAGTTTCAGGCCGCCGTTCCATGTTCTCTCGTACACTGCGGCTCAGGGCAATCTCGAAACGTTCTTCCTTTGCGATACGACATACACGACCTTTTATCGTAACATCAAGCCGCGCAGCCATGGACAAAGCGCCTCAGCAAGATAGCAAGGATGAGAAGGGGTCTATCCTTGATTGGGTAAGTGCTCATGAAGAGAGGAATGTTGCGAGCACGGAATCTAGTCTTTGTTCCTTAGGTATCGAACGGGCGGCAGACCCAGCATCAGCATACTGATTGCGACAACAGGTCAAACCTGGTGACAAGAGTGGCGAGTTTAAACGCCAAACGTCCGTCTTCAGGAACTGGATTCAGAACAAACCCGGTGCTGAGTTTCCGCCTGAGAAAGGTCGATACCATCTCTACGTTTCCTACGCTTGTCCATGGGCCCACCGCACACTCATCGTCCGTCACCTAAAGGGCCTCGAGGATATCATCTCCTATAACAGTGTACACTGGCACATGGCGGAGAAAGGCTGGCGATTCGCAACCCCCGATGAGCAGGTTCCAGGTAACACAACACCAGACCCACTCCACAATGAATACACGCATCTACGTGACATCTACTTTGAGCAGAACCCAGACTATGAGGGTCGGTTCACTGTACCAACGCTCTACGATAAGAAAGCCAAGAAGATCGTCAGCAACGAGAGCGCCGAGATTATCAGGATGCTGTACACCGAATTTGACGATATCATCGAGGAGAAGTACAGGAAGGTGGATTTGTTTCCCAAAGATCTCCAGAAGGATATCGAGGCTATGAACGACTGGGTATACAACGATGTAAACAACGGTGTTTACAAGTCAGGGTTCGCTACGTATGCTACCCTATACCGTCCCTTCGATTTTGACTGCAACGTACTAATAGTGGTACAGCACCGAAGAGGCCTACACAAAAGCTGTGACACAGCTTTTCAAGTCTCTTGATCGCCTGGAAGAGTCTTTGTCCGAGTCTTCGACACCATACCTTCTTTCAAGCCCACATGTGACTGAGGCTGATATCCGTCTCTTCACAACTATCATTCGCTTCGATCCCGTCTATGTCCAGCATTTTAAGTGCAACATCCGCGATATTAGATCGGGATACCCTCTTATACACCAGTGGATGCGTCATTTGTACTGGGTACGTTCCCGTCTTTTGCATCTCCTGCTCCAAATACATCTGCATGTTGTGGATCATAACTGTTGTACTAACATGACTGAAACAGGACTACCCCGCTTTCAAAGAGACCACAGACTTTGAACACATCAAGAAGCACTATACCAAGAGTCATGGTCAGATCAACAAGTTCCAGATTACGCCCATTGGCCCTGTGCCAGATATTCTTGAGAAAGAGGATGAAGTGCCTAGCGTGAAGGCCGTAATGAAGAAATAGTTAACGATAGAAATTCAACGCACGTGATTTGACGTCTCCTACCGCATTTGCAGTTCTTTGAATTGTCTGCCCAACGAGGCCAAGTTCGAGAGTATTTCTGCTTCACTGTACCAACAGAAGGATGAATCAGAGCCATAGGAGCCATTGTCAAGGAAACAAGGAAACATATTCGCCAAGTGATAATAGTTCGTGACTACTCGAGAACACAGGCCTATTGTTTCAAAGCTAGTACCATGCTCACTGCAGCCAGGGCGCCCATCAAGCCTACAGCCAGAATGACTGCGGCAAATGGTATCAGTGGCGGGCGAACACCTTTTTGCATCATGCCACTGATCTCCGTCTCCAACCTCTCAGCCAACTTCTCTTTGGAGAATTCAGCCACAACTCTATCCCTGCCCCACTTGCCCATCTCTTTCAGTCGTTCCTCACCTTCGCCATCTTCGAGCGCAATGCGCATGACCTCGGTCCAGTCCTGTACCTTGGCGACGTCTCGCAGCCAACCTGTCTGGCCGCTTATGACTGTTTCAGTGGGTCCACCTGCATTAGCAGCTAAGACCGGTGTACCTACCAACATGGCTTCTAGCGGTACAATGCCAAAGTGCTCATGTAAGGGAGTGTATATAAGGAGGCGCGAGCTATGTAGTAGCGCGGCTTTGAAGGCATTCGGAACAGAGTGGAGGAATACAATCGGAATGTCGTCAGGAATGGCTTGGGCAGTGATGACGGTCTTAGCAGTCGCGTGCTTCAGCTTGAGTGAATCTGCCAGGTGGCACAACTCGGTATAGGTAGAAACATTTTCGGGCACTCTGGGATCATAGCCACCTGCAATTACCAGCCGTGCATCGTCGCGCTCTCTAGGCGACAAGCCCGCAAATGCCCTGATTGCAAGTGCCACGTCCTTTTTCTTCTCGAAGCGATTGATGCTAAGGAGCACCTTTTTGTTCTTCCACAACGGCGTGACGTCGTCGACCGACTCGGCTGCGGTGATGTCTACGCAGGGATATACGACGCCAGGCTCGCGGTGCTCCAGGGCAGGAAAGGCCTTGCCGAAAATGCTCTTGGTGAAGTTGCTGTTGACGACAATGGTGTCGCTGGATCCCGTGCTCCAGCTCTCGAGCCAGTCAAAAGGCCCACGGTATAGTGTCTTCAGCAGTCCGCCCTTCTTGGCTAGTAGTTTGTCGGGAAAGTGGCAGTAAAAGATGACACGTGGGCAGGGCTGTAGCAGGCGCAAGAGCGGAATGCCAGCGCTGAGCTGGTCGACAAAGAACGAGGAAGGCGCGAGTTTCGGGAGTTCTTGGGTAAACAGGGTAATCTGGAGTATCAAATGCACCTGGCGCAGGATGGCACAGAGTATAGCGAAGCGGCCGAAGATGGTGGAGGGGACGATGGTGTTTCCGCGCACTCGTACGTCGAGGGTTCCTTTGTGTGCGCGTCAGGTCTCAGCTGCGTGGCCAGGCATAGGCGGCGGGTGGTCCGAGGTGTTGTAGTAGAGGCTTACCATCGCGCGCCTCATCGAAGCAGTGTTGCGGGTCGCAGTGCGATGTGAAGATGGTGACCTTGTGCCCGCGATTCTGGAGGCCGACTGCGGCATCGATGACCAGGCGCTCCGCCCCACCAATGCCCAGGTCGGGGTGGAAGAAGACGACGTGTTCCTTCTTTTCCGCCATCGTGTGTTTGAAGAGAGGGAGAGGGTGACGGTCATTACGTGTTGCGGCGCACGAGATCAAGTGGGCTGCGGGTGACCTTTCCGCTTTGGGGTTGGTGTCAAGGCGGGCGCGACGGATGAACCATGACCTGGAAGGCTGCACCTGACGCGTGCGAACGTACAGTTGGACACTACGCGTGCGATCCCGTCTGATAAGACTCCATCCAACGAGCATTTGCGTCGAGGATACACCGTGAAAGATCCGCATCACACCCTTCAACATGTTCGTCGTGGCACATCAACACTGCCCAACATCCTAACCCGACTACCACCACGACTAGACCCGCGCATCAACCGCTGCCATGGGTCAAGGCTTCTCCCTCACTACCCTTTCTGCTGGCTCAGCCAACATTGACGTGCCTGAGCTAGCGGATCTCCAGTACGAAAAGTCGCTGGGGGCTGCGCGTTTTATGAAAGCCGTACGGGCGCGCCACAAGGACGGTCTTGTCGTAGCCCGAGTGGTAATGAAACCATATGCTCAATTTGATTTCCAGGAACATGTCAAACGGCTACTCCGTGAGTTTCGTACAAGCTCCGTCATCTTGCAGCTGATTGATTAACATTTACAAGATGAACGCAAAGTGCTGGCAGATGTGCCCAATGCCATCCCATATCACCGCGTTATTGAGACAGCTGCTTGCGGTTATCTTGTACGCCAATACATCCACAGCTCTCTATACGATCGTCTGAGGTACGTCCTTGTTCCTTTGCCAGCCATGTCTCTTATTCAACATCATATAGTACACGTCCGTTTCTGGAAGAGATAGAGAAGAAATGGCTCTCGTTCCAGCTCCTTTGCGCTGTACGAGACTGCCACGCCAGGAATATCTATCATGGCGACATCAAGACTGAGAATGTCCTTGTCACATCCTGGAATTGGCTGTATCTCGCCGACTTTTCGTCCTCGTATAAGCCAGCACATCTACCCGAAGATAACCCTGCCGACTTCTCCTTCTACTTCGACCTCTCCGGTCGCCGCACTTGTTACCTTGCACCAGAGAGGTTCCTGGCTGCTGGACAGCAACCTGAAGGCGAGGGCGATGTAAACTGGGCCATGGACATCTTCAGCGTCGGCTGCGTTATTGCCGAACTATTCTTGGAAGCACCCATCTTCTCTCTCAGTCAGCTCTTCAAGTATCGACAAGGCGAATACAACCCCGAACATTCCCATCTCAACAAAATCCAGGATGCTAGCGTACGGGAACTGATCTTGCACATGATACAAGTAGATCCTAATTCGCGCATGACTGCTGAAGACTATCTGACGCACTGGAAAGGCAAGGTGTTCCCAACATACTTCTATGGCTTTTTGCAACAGTACATGTACTCAATCACCGATCCGTCCTCGGGGCGCAAGCCTGTAACCACCGGAGCAGAACATCTTGGTGAACCTGATGAGCGTATAGAGCAGATATATAGCGACTACGACAAGATCTCCCACCTGCTTTCCAACGAGGAAGGAAAGGAGCTCACTAGACCAGAATTTTCTCCTCCAAAGCCAAACGCCAAGCTCTTCCCACTATTCGTCAACATACCAAACTATCAGCACCAAGCTTCACCTGCCCGCAGTCTAGCCATCGACGACGGCAATTTGGTCTTCTTGACTATCGTCGTGTCTTGCTTACGTGGAACAGCGAGAGCTTCTGCCCGTGTTCGCGGCCTCGAGCTACTCCTGGCATTCTCAGAGCGCTTGACAGACGAAGCAAAGCTGGACCGAGTGATCCCTTACGTGGCCCAATTGCTAGTCGACAAGTCCGACCAAGTCAAGATTGCTGCACTACGCACGCTGACGCAAATCCTTGCTATGGTGCAGGTCGTGTCTCCCATAAACGCCTACATCTTTCCGGAGTATGTTTTGCCACGACTAGAGACATATCTACCCGATTATCCTACCAACGTCGGGTCCCTTGTTCGTATGCAGTATGCCTTTTGTATTGGCACATTGGCAACTACTGCGGCTAGGTATCTGGATATGATCCAAGCTCTGCGTGCAGAGGGTTCATTACCCACTGCAGATCCCGAAACGGAAGATGACATGTCTTCGTCTGCTCACCGGAATCAGTTTGACTCGGACCGTCGGATTCTCGTAGAAGCCTTCGAGAAGCATACGAAAGCTCTTCTTACTGACGGCGACGCTGCAGTTCGACGAGCCATGCTTAAGTCCGTCTCTGACCTCTGCGTTTTCTTCGGCAGTCCTAGGGCCAATGATGTCGTCCTCAGTCATCTCAACACCTATCTGAACGATCCAGATTGGATGCTCAAGTGTGCATTCTTTGAGGGTATTGTGGGCGTGGCCGTATTCGTTGGCGGTGCTAGTCTAGAAGGTTACATTCTACCGCTTATGGTTCAGGCATTGACAGATCCAGAAGAGTTTGTGGTTGAAAAGGTCATTCGAGCACTTTCTTCGATGGCAGAGCTTGGCCTATTCCAGCGCTCCAAGACTTGGGAGCTGGTGGACATCCTTGCCCGACTTACCATGCACCCCAATCTGTGGATACGAGAGGCAGCTGCACAATTCATCTCGGCCGCCTCTAGGTACCTGTCGGTAGCCGACACGCACAGCATTCTGGTCAACCTCATTCGACCGTATCTAAAAGTCATACCCTCAGAATTCTCTGAGCTACGAATTCTGGAGTCTTTGAAGCTACCTATGTCACGTTTGCTCCTAGAGATGGCTTCAAACTGGGCACTTCAATCTCAAAAAGGACAGTTCTGGGTCGCAGCTAGGCATCAGCAGACGTTCACCTTTGGTTCATCAGACGATAGCCTTCCAACGATTTCTGGGCGTGAACTAGACCAGAAGGTACTGCAACGGTTACCAAAAAACGAAGAAGACGAGCTATGGCTACGAAAGCTTCGTAATGCAGGCATGACGATAGAAGATGATTTCAAACTTGTTGCTCTGCGAGAGTTCATCTGGAGGGTAAGCCATCGCCGGCGCTCTGACAGTCTTTCCACCCCAACTACGAGATTCAATAGCGTTGTCTTGTTGCACGACCTTGGTATCAAAGCCCAGACTGTGCTTTTCGATGAAGACGTTCGTCAAGTCATGGAACAAACCAGGAAGCCAAACGCCCCCGAGGAACATATGCAGCCTCGAACGATCAAGGATGCCCTGTTGGATGCATCAACTACGGAGGCTAATGGGCTGGCCGACCGTATGCCGCATTTTGAGAGTCAAGCGGGACGCCTCATACGCGAAGAGAGGGGAATAACCATTCCCGTGCGATCGAAGATGTCTTCTTCCAACGATGCACACTCTAGTCTGGGCTCGCCATCTTCCGAAACCGATACG